TCCTGAGCCCATTCTGTTATTTCCTTGACAGTGGCATTCCTGTTTGAGGTGCAGAAACGTTTAAGGGCCCGGAGATCATGAGCATCCAGTAGAGTTTTACGGCCTTGACCCTTACGCACAGCGATTGTTCCAGATTCTCTGAATCTTTTGATGATGTTATGCACGGTTGATGATGATAACTTAAAAGTATTTGCTATTTTATGCTGGGTAACACCATTCTGGTATTGCTGCACTATGTTTCTGCGCAACAATGGTGGAATTGGTGATCCTCTTACCATCTTGTCTTCTGAGAGACACTGACACTCTGAGAAGCTCTTTTTATACCCAATCATGTTGTCAATTGACCTAATTAGTGTTAATTGGTCTTCGAGCTGTTCGTTATATGCTCAATTTCCTTTTTCCAGCAACTTATTGCTACTTGTCCCAACTTTTTTGGGATTTGTTGACACTGTGAAAGTTTGAATCAACATATTTTTCCTTTAAAATGTTACATTTACTCAGATTAAACTTTTGATCTGTCATCTATGCTATATTACGAATAAAATATTGACATTTGCCATCTCCACATCATTGCATTCCGTTTTTATTCACAATTTGTTTAGTGTCCCAACTTTTTTGGAATCCGGTTTGTAGATGTGACTTATAAAGACAATTTTATGCATTCTAAGTTTTTCCTCACCTCTTGAAAACAAACACAAATCAGTTTGTTACCTTGACAGCTGTTTATGATTACCTGTAATTTGTAAAATAACTGAAAACGTTGGGCTGTTGATGTTAGACTTAGGCTGCTTTTTCACTTTTTCAGTCCAGTCCTTGTACTGAACTGAATATGACAGCACATTGAAAAATATTTACTTAGAAAATTAGACAAGCGGAGCACATGAATCCGAAAGACGAAGCTTTCATCAGCGGATAATGTTCAGTACAATAGTTAATACCTAATAACTCTTTGAAAATCACATTGCAGGATTGTGTGTGTGTTATATTTGGTATTTTTACAAGGTTCATTTAAAATGAAGAGAACTAATTGTATCTTTGTGACAGGCTGCTGATATCAAGGAGTCTAAAATCCAATTAAAAAAAGTCTTGGTTCATTTCTTGAATTTAGATGCCTTTTTATGCCTTGATGATTTATAAGTCATTGCCTAACAAAGAAGAAAAGTTGAAATGGTCAAGCACTGGACAGAAGACAAATGAATGGTCCACATCCAAAACAAAACTTTAAAATGCCTTCTAATTGTTTTTTAACTATTGATCAAGACTGATTTGATTGGTTATATAAAGGTTGAGACAATTGGAAGAAAATAAATAACTGACAAGACTTTTTACACCATACTTCATATTTGATTGGACAGATTCACGCTCATGAATACACCAAACCATCACTCATGCTTTTTGGACTCTCTGAACCTCCACCAGCCCTCATCAGTGTCCACCAAACCACAAATCAAGAAAAGGCCTCCCCTCCGCATCTTGCAATGGCCAGCATCCTTAATGATTAATTTATAGTTTCTGAACAGGAAACTGAAGGTCTCAGCAACAAACAGGTTTGATCCAGAATACACATCGTCTACGATGGTGCTGAAGAGTCAGGTGTCAATAAACTGCACACATGCATGCTACGAGAATATAAACAGGGATCAGATGAGTAAAACAACGGAGAAGCCAGGTCTTGTGTGCTGAAGTTGCAGTGAGAACATTCGGAAACATTTTTATTTCCTAATAAGACTAACAAGAGACTTCATCAATAGAGGCTGTAACAGCTTGATGCCTGACTGAAATGCCAACAAGCTTGGTGATAACAGGATCTGTCTGTGATGAAAGGTGGACTACATTTTAAAATCTTAATAAGTCTCCTGGTATGTTTGCCAAAGCAGACTGTCAATCAAGTGCAGGATCATACACTGCATGTGCATAAATATACATTAGCTTAAGGGTACTTTAACTGTTGAGTAAATCTATACTAAAGTCAAATAAAGCAAGAAGAGATGTAAATAAAATATACAAATTTAAGAGCGAATGAGTTTATATATTTTAACTTTTTACAGACTACTTGTTTACCTTTATAAATCTTTACCACGTTTTTGCCTTTGCAAACGAATCAGCACACATTTAAATACGAGTATTCCCCAATTTGCAGATGAACTAATTCCAAAAGCTCTGTCCCGTCCTCCAGTGTATCACATTGTCCTTCACCAAGCTACTGAAGGTTCCCATGACCCCTTAATAAATCTATTACATCAACTCCCATCTTTTTTTTCCCACAGAAACACATGCATTATGTTTTTGCCAGAGATTCAGTATGTTGCATTACTAGTTACCGAGCTTGCTACAGACATCTGCACACAACGCTAACTTCTTACTTTTGTTAAGGAAGATTGAGAATAATACAAAAAGTAAAACAGTGGAATAAACCAACCTAGATATTGTAAAAATTGTTCTAACATGAAAATATTTTAATTGTTAAAATATTTGCATTTGAAAGTTCCCTTGAAGCACAACAAGTTCCTAAACGTGTCTAAGCTTTTTAATTTTTTTTATATTTATACAATGGAATAGTTCTACAAAATAGTTTTTTGTGTTTCAACCTTGAAGCCACACTAAAACAGTATTAGAAGCACAAAACAAATATTTTTGAAAACTAGTTTCATAGATAATAAAAAAAGGGAACCACCATTCTTGCATGTTTGTGTAGATATAGTATTTTTTTCCTAAATAGAGATAGTTTTGGAAAAATTGTCCTCTAATGTGGACATGATTTTACATTAAATGGTTAGATAGTCCTACCACTTGCCCACTCAGTAATAAAGCAGTAATTACAGGTCAAACCCGAAAAAAAAAGAAGACATTTTTAATTACACTTTGACTGCTTATATAGTTATTAACAGTCGGCGGATGCGTGCGGCTGAGTAAAGGGGGCAGAAGATCGGAGCTGAGGGGGTGTTTGTCCTTTCATGGTCATCAAAGTGCATTAAATCCCTGCTTCTGCCCACATTCTGCATTATTCAGACATGGACCCTGCTCTGACATGTCGGATATCTTGTGATCTCACCTGTTTGGGTCGTCGGACGCACGCATCCGCTGAGTGCAGCGACTGAATGAACATCCATTTGGGCTTTGATGGATCGCTGCCTGACAGTAGTTCCAGCTGAAGCTTAACTGAACTTTTTACCTCTTTCAAGGCTGGTCAGCACGCAGTCAAATGGCCACGTGTGGCTGGTGGATGTATAGCAAACCATGTTGCCATATAATTGGATCATCAACCGCGCACAACCGCTGACACAATCAAAAGCCCGACACCGACCTGGCCTACACATTTTTATGGACTGGCCCAGCCCTAATCTGGGTTGAGTGGGGCCGGACTCCGGGTTAGAAATGACAGCTCTAAAACAAGCCATGATTAAGTTCATTTTAGCTAATTAGGAGTTTATGCTAAAGGTTAAATTAAAATTCATACCTTTTAGTTATAGCCTCAAATCCCTATATGTATCTTAATATTAGCTTAACCATTCCAATTGGCACAGGAACAAACTTCACTGCAGGCTCCGATACAAAAAAACACAACATTTACAAGTTCTGAGGAATCTTTGATATTCTTAGCAGATTTAATGGCACAGACTGCTGTTCTAAACCCACAGATATACTGCTCACTCTAAGATAAAAGTATTGAAAAGCTGTTCCCCGATTGGTAAATTCAATGCAGTTTATTTTATATTGCCAAGTCACAGCTGAAGTCATCTCAGTTTTTTAACTTTAGAACTGCAGGCCAAATTAATGCCCCCCAGAGTTGGTGAAACACTGCAAAATGTATTCCTAAGATGCTCAGGTCCAAAAACAAAACCTCAGTCTTGTCCGAGTTTAAAAGTAGAACATTTAGGGTCATCCAGGTTTTTATGTCTTTAAGACATGCCTGTAGTCTAAAAAAAACTATTAGATTCATTGGGTTTCATGGACAAATATAACCGAGTATCATCAGCATAACAATGAAAATGTATCCCATGCTGTTTATACCCTAACCCAATCCTAACCCTAATAACTTTACCTAATGGAAGCATATATAAAGTAAAGAGTCAGGTCAAGTGGTTATGATGACCACTTGCCTAACAAATGTAAAACAATGAAAAACAACAAAAGTATCTATTGTGTACTGATAATCTCCAAATACAAGGTCATAATGAACAAAGGATTGGCTAGCTTCTGCTTCACTCTTTCATCCCATACTCTGACCAGTTACGCTTATTATGCGTAAAAAACATTACAGTAATCTGTAGTTCGATATAAAAAAAAACAAATATAAAATCAAAATGCTAACATGGTATGTTATGAAATGAAAAACAATTTGATCAAAGTACCTGCAGCATCCCTTTTACCGTCTTTGTTTCTTGTGCTTTGCGTGTGTCAAGGTCATAGCATGCCCTTGGAAATCCATTACCGATATGGGGGAAGGAATGAAGAAAAGGGCTGGCATTCCCTTGCTGCTGTTCGAGTCACGTCATGTAATGAGCTTCCCCCCTGCTCCCCATGGATTCGATGTCATTATGGAAATGCAATTCCTGAATCCTTGTGCATCATTGTACAGGCTATTAGAAATGGATTGTAGGACATTTTCTTAAGAGAATGCACCTCCTGATGACCTCTTGCCATTTCTTTTAGTACCAGACTAATAGATTTATACATTAAAGGCACCTTCATGACTTATCCCAATGATTTGTAGGAAGTGGGTGAAAGTGAGTAATATCCTGGTGGAAGGGAGAAGTATAAACATTGTTTCTGCAATATAAAAATAGAATCCACATCTAGTAAATAGTCAGTACCTCTCAGCCAGTTGTCGGGAGAAGAATGAGGGTGCTCATTAAACACTAAAGTCCTAAATTTAGTTTCTAAAAAAGACTCACTTGAAAGATTTAGAACCGTGACAAAGGTTAACAAGACTGTATAATTTACATGGTGAGAATGCAAAGGATGGGGGAATAAGTTTTTGTCATCAGCGGAGTAATTACCTGCCACATGGCTTCCTCAGGCTGGGGTGGTAATACGTTAGCATCCCTGGTGCCATGACATTGACAGGGCAGCCACCACTATAATCCTCCTTCGCCCAGTCCTTGAAAGCAAAAACAAAATGGCAATTAATCATGGAGTAATACAGATATTACTGTGAATTCTAAAGTAATGGGTTCAGCCTCGGCCAAAATGGAGACAGCTGCCCCTGTGCCACCACGACATCCCATCCGTTCAAGCAAAACATCCCCGTTAAGCAGCCTTACTAGTTCCAATTCATTTTTCATTTCTACCCTGGAGAGACTTTTGACATAAAACTGGCAGCTCTCTGACTGAACAGCTGAAAAAAAAATACAACAAAAGACATTTAAAGATAAGAGAACGTAGCGGTAAAACTAAAGACGTTAGAGTAGATCAAAACAGTTAAATAATGAAAATAAGTTACGTTCAATCAGAGTAATTTTTGTAACCCTAACCCTAACCCTAATCCAATCAAAGGCCTAGATTTTCCATGAAGGAATGCATATCACTGGTTTTCATGCAGGAGTTTATCTTATTTTGAAAAATAATCGTGGCATTCTTGCTGTTCTGGTCAAATCTACTAAATAAATTCATGTGCAATCCCATTCCAAGTTGCAAGATTTGTGGGGGGGGGATGACTCTCAGCTACTACATCAAATTTCGACAATATTTGCAAATTTAACCAAGGTCAGGTGGCAGTGGCGGCCATCTTGAATTGGCTCGAGTCCAAAGTTGATCAGTTATAGTGGGACATCTAATTATTCATTCCTGAAAGTTTATTAAAATGCAGGTATTAAATCATGATATATTTTGCTAACAAACAGGGGGAGTAGTGGCGCAGAGGTTAGAGAATATGGGCCTGTGATCAGAAGGTCGCCGTTTAACTCCCCGGACCGACAACATTAAGTTAGTTCGCTGCGGTGACCACTGAAGAAGGGAGCAGCCGAAAGAAGAAAAACATATACTATATATATATATATATATATATATATATATATATATATATAGTTAACAGACAGACATAGCTGGCTCCAATAGTTAATGGCAAAGTTTTAAAACTAATCTTGCCCAATCTTTTAGTGCTCCGAACGTGTTAGAGATGACTTTGAGCTACCACCACACCAAATCATTATATCATACCATGATGAGATTAGGTATAATTACATCATTGATTCTTCATGTCTTAATATAAACTACAAACAGCCATGTAAACCAGGTTTCAGTGACACTTTCACATCAAAACTCACTGAGTCAAAAGTTAAACTAACCTGCAAAGCACTCCAATGACAAATAGATATCTTCTTTTTTTAAGTTGTGCTGTTTCAACTTCTAGGACTGAACAGGAAGAGAGTGAGGAATGAAAATAGAAAAGGATGTGAGCGTTTGCATGAGAGGCAGATAAATTAGAGGGTTAGAGCTGAGGAATGAGAAATCCAAGACAGAAGAAATGAGTGAGGGGGAAGACGGGTCTAAATCAGGCGGAGATAAAGAGACGGATGAAGCCAAGGGAACAGATGGCCCTTCTGCAGGATGTTGTGCCGTATCTTCATTTGACGGCTTTATTAACTCCTGCACATCAGCAAACTGAGGTAAAACGCAAAAATGTTATATTGTTTTTAATATTTTGGTGATGAAAAACAAAGTCAGAAATGTGCATTTGCTTTATTCATGGGTATGATCAAACAATACGTTAAATCCAGCTGTTTGCCCATTTCTGTTTTAAATAATGGTATACAGAAAATGCAGTGGTGATGCAACAGTGCAGCCTTATTTATAATGTTCCTTACAGCATTACAAGGCAAACCTTTCAACCAATTCCTCCAATTGTTGACTTCGGCTTGATCTATGAGGACTCCAGCTGTTGATGTAGAGCGCAGTGGGTAAGACATTTGAAGCACTCTGCTGCACAACTTAAACACTCTGTGCTGTCCTCAAAGTAAAGAGTCAGCACAGCTTTTTCTGAGCATACGTATATCAAAGTAAAGAAAATAATGAAAAACTGCAAAAGTATTTTTGTTAATTTGTTGCCAAGCCCACCTAGCAATAAAAATATATCTTGGGTCAATAAAGACATTAACATGAGCTTAATTAAATTTTAAAAAAACTCAACAATTTTGATCAACAACGTTTTGTTAACTCTCAAGCTACGTTTCAAAATCTAAAGCCATCTGTTAACACTCGGAGTGATAAGCCGTTTTTGTGTTCCCTAAGATAAATTACTGTGGCAGCCATCTTGAACGGAGTTGACTCCAAACGGCAATCAGTTATAGATGCACATCCAATAATTTTCATTATCACAAAGAGTTTTACCGTTACCGTATTTTCCATTGTATAAGCCACTACATTTTTCCACACAGTTTGAACAAAGCAGCGTGTACAATGCTGCGGCTAATTTATGGATTTTTCTCCCTTTTATTTATGAATTTTGACGTAGTTTGACATATGTTCAGCAGATACAAGTGGTAGGATTCTTTTTTTTTTTTTTTTACGAGCTAACAAGCTTCATGCCGCCAAAACAGTTGGCCTCATCACACCCGGGCGCTCACATAGCTGCCCAATCCACATCTTTCTTGGGGGCTGGGTCCTTGTGACTCAGTGAGACTACCTGCATACATAAAGGTAAAAAATTAAATCTGACCAATAAAATTACTGAACAGGTCACAGTGCGGAAGGAAGTAAACTAAGTTTCCCCCACTCCCCGTTCTCCCCTCCCCATTGTGCTTTTGGGGGCACAACGAAGTATTTGCAGCCACTCAAAATAAATGTGAATCGTGCATTAACGTGGCACTCCGAGCTTGATGGGAGCATTGGATGACTGGCGGCAGGAAATGGTTTATCAAAACTGGCCGCAGGCGAAGAGCAACTTTTGCTCAAGTCTGCCAGTGGAGCCCGACAATGGAGCAGGGTCAAAAAATACTTTATCACCAACGAGTTTTGAAAGGAGCCGCGTGATGAAGAGGACAGCACAATCTCAAAAGGGTGCAGTGCACAGGAGGAAGATTAGGATAGTGACCAATGATTTCCTGACAGGATACTGTAACTTTTTTTGTTTTTTTACCAGCCGTGTTACAGGTACTGTTCAGAAAACATTTACTGTACGTAATTGTGAACAGGTACATATATAATTATAAGTTTTAAAAATCTTTCTGTATAAATATCTCATATTACAATGTGGACACCCACGGCTTATAGACAATTATGGCCTATTTATGTACAAATATTATTATTATTTTATTATTTAGTGGTTGCAGCTTAAATTCGGTTGCGCTCAATAGTCTGGAAATTACGGTATACAATTGTTGGTGTATGTTAGGACTGCAGTTGCATTGCTTTGAGTGAGTATGTGAATCTAATGTAAGTAAATTAAATTCCAGGTAATCAGCCATGATGGGACGAGAAAAAAGTGGAGCTGAACAGAGATTGGCTGCATAAAGACGAGCTGCGGAAGTGACGGCGTCGGCTTCCATTCATTTTGCGCATCCCAACCAGCCACACCTGACCCATTGTGCCACGTCAGCCACTAGTTTGTTTGTAAACAATTTATTTGAGGAGTTCGTTACGGTGGCCCTGAGGTGTAAATGAACAACATTTGAAAAAACAGAATTATATATTTAAAAAACAACAAAAATACAACAACATTAGATAAAATGGAATTACATTAAGCCAAAAGCGGTAGTGACCAAAGCGGAAGTGGCCAAAGCGGAAGTGGCCAAAGCGGAAGTGGCCAAAGCGGAAGTGGCCAAAGCGGAAGTGGCCGGAATCACATTTTAACAATGGAATTACATTTGAAAAAATAAATAAATAAATAAACTACAACAACGGAATTACATTAAGCCAAAGCGGAAGTGGCCAAAGCGGAAGTGGCCAGATCGGAAGTGGCCGGAATCACATTTTTTAAATGGACTTACATTTGAAAAAAACGGAATCACATTAGGCCAAACTGGAAGTGGTGTTTGTTTTTTGTTTTTTTGTATTTTTTATTTGATTTTATTAACATCATAAAACAGAACAATAGAACAATGTACAGTACACACACAGCTGAGGTATAGTTAGCAGGCTAGCCTTTAGCCTACAAAAATGTAGAGTTATGTTTTGTTCAAGCTTAAAGAAGAAGATACGACGCTGAAAAAACTCGACAGGATCTTCAAGGTAATTATTTTTTCTAATGTAATTCGGTTTTTTCAAATGTGATTCCAACTACTGCTTCGGCCACTTCCACTTTGGCTCAATGTAATTGTTTTTTTCTAATTAATTACGTTTTTTATTTTTCTCCAAATGTTATTTTTGTTGCGTTTTTTGAAACGTAATTCTGTTTAGTCAAATGTTCATTTACACCTCAAGCCACCGTAGTTTGTAGAAGTGAGCAACCCTTTATTTTAAGATATTTCTCCTGTTTTTGCAAGAAGGTAAGGAAATTGTGTTTTATTATTGTGCATAGGTAAGAGAATTAATCAAATACTATTTGTTTGTTATTTTGGCCTGGGCTCACCCTGATGCTTGTAAGACTTTTATAATATGCTCAGCTAATGTAAATGAATCACACTAAGACAAACAAACAAACACACACAGGTAAAAACATTCTCGCCTGCCTTACAATGGTGGGTGATAAACATCCCCACAGAGAGGCCAATCATGTTACCATAAACGGTTACCACCATTATAAAACAGTTAACCTTGAAGAAACACTGCACTTATTAAATATTTAATAGCTCATTGTAAACTCGCTGACACGAACCTGTAATTTTCCTCTCTAATAGAAAAGCAGAGGAATGAACATTCTTCTCGTCATGTACCGGCTCAAGTAATACACAGACAGGAAATTAAAATGATCTGCTGAACTCTCATTTGTATGTTTTATTGCTAGCGACACGTGAATAACAGTGATTAAAAAAAGATGCCAAAGAAATCTGATAACAATTTGGCTCCAATAAAATCCAGGCAAATCTTTGTGTCAGCAGCGCAGATTGAATTTATCATCTTTTCTTCACTCAAAGTAATTGTTCTTTAAAGTGATGTTCCCCTTGAGTCTCTTTGTCAGCAAAGTGAAACCATAATACCTCCCTAAACGCTACAGCCTCTGGTTGGCTTCAGGCGGTCTTCCATTGGATCTTCCCTCTCAGAAACGGTGTATGAAAGTAGTGGAGGACCAAAAATCATGCATCTGCATGAGTAATGGACCGTTTCACATTCTATTGCTGCTTGCATCCATCATGTAAAGGAGCTAAATGTTTTTTTTTTTTTTTTTTTGTGACAGGTTTAAAGAAAATAAAGATTTCCCCGGCTTGGGCCCCCCCCCCCCCCCCCCAGTAGAGTAGTATTACTGGTTGGTTTGTGTGTGTGCATAGCACCTCCCATTTCCCTGCTTACCTTCCATTTACACATTATAAAGCATTTCATATCAGACCGGTGAGCTTTCCGATTCAGAAACGATGAAATGCACTAAACTAAAACATAAAAATTAAGGTTTATTTCGGGTGAGGGAGAAGAAAGCTGGGTAGATTGTGGTTGGCATGGTGGCGCAGTTGGTAGAGCAGCTGCCTCTTAGCGAGAATGTCGCAAGATCGAATCCCATCCGGGGGCCTTTCTGGGTGGAGTTTGCATGTTCTCTCCGTGCATGCGTGGGTTTTCTCCGGGTGCTCCGGTTTCCTCCCACAGACCAAAAACATGCATGTTAGGCTGATTGGTGACTCTAAATTGTCCCTAGGTGTGAGTGAGAGTGAACTGTCTTCAGCACGGTTCGACTCGGCTCAGTACGGCTCCAAGCCTTTTTCCATTAGCAACTTTTCACGGAACCGGACCTTTTCTCAGGACCCATTTCTCTGGGGTACCAAGCGTGCCGAGCCGGCACCAAAACGTGACGTCAGAACACTGTCGGTCACTGATTGGTCAGGGGCGGAGTCACTGGATCTTTGAGAAATTTTTCAAAAAACACCCAATCCGCCATTTGCAATTACTCGAGCTCGGAGCAGCGGCTGGACCTATTTTGAAGATTTTAAAAACAATAATGACAACACCGTGGTCTAATGCTGAAGTCCAGGTGGGGGTTTTTTTTGTGTTTGGTGACCGACGATAAAATTCAGAGCGAGCGGAGTCACCTCGGAGCATCATACAGCCGACTCTGACTCTATACATGCTCGGACTCTGACTCGAAGCTGCCGACTCGTTGAAGCCGGGGTCCGGGCCCCGGCCTCGCGGACTCCGAACCGCGGCAAACTAACGGACCGGGACAGGTCTGGGACGGAGGGTGGAAACGATTTTTTAAAACATTATGAATAAAAAATAATGTATTTTTTTAATCGGTGAAGATTAAAAACAAATAAATGGTGCGCCTTTATCATGACATGCTGTTTTCACTTTAATAACTTTATTAAATAATCTGTTCATTAAAGTTAACTCAGCCAAAGTTAACATTAGCTAAAAGACAAAGAAAAAAAACTAAATGGTAGCTAAAAGAAGAAATAATATGAATGCTGGCTCACCATTTAAACTTGTTTTAGCAGGTAAAGAAAGTTCAGCATTTTATTGATATGACTAAAAACTACGTGAAATAAAACATCATTATTACTATTATGTGTCAGCTTGAATTGTATTAAACTTTTTGTTTGTATTGCTCCATGTGGTAATGGACACCAAGAAAATAAAGCAAAAAAAAAAAAAAATAATAAAATGACCTAGTTTTTCCTATTTATGTATATATATTCATTAATTATATAACATGAACGTGAAAATAAACTGATGCGTAGACATAAATGTGCGCAGTGCAATAATATCAGTGGAACAGTCATTGATAGGTTTAATTATGGGAAATAGAAATTAACTTCTTTTTACAGCTTTGGACAAATACAATTCAAACTATTTAATGCATTTATTAACAAATATATAAAGATGAAAATATATAATAAAATTGTGCAAGCATGTAAATTCCTACAGGCATTGACAGAAAAGTGATCAAATTAAAACGTTGGCGTCTTTCACAAAAACTGTTTTATGGCCATAATAAAGGATAAAGGAAAAATAAAGGATTAATAAAGTATTTTTGAATTGAATTGAATTGAATTAATGATGAGCTCCTCTTTAAGATGAGATCTTTGAACCAAAGGAGGTCTGGAGTGTAACTCTGCAGGGTTGGAGCGAAGTGCTTGGAGCGCAACATCTCAATGTTTGGTTGACACCACGACATTCTACGTATCGTGACCGGCTAGTCAAACGCCATCTGTTGTCGTCATGTCCTCTAGCCATGAAGCCGCCTTATCCTTCATTTATTGATCCATGTTATTACCTCGCTTGTCGCTAAGAGATATGACAGCGACAAACTGACCCCTCGTTCCTAGATCCTTTCATAAATCAGAAGGCGAGGAGAAAGCGTCTCATGCCCAGAATTAGTAATATAGTAATATTTTAGTATAATGGTAATATTTTAGATCGCCTATGGTGCTCTAACAGATGCTGCTCAAGTCATAGGCACTAATGCACCCCCATACCATCATAGAGGCAGGCTTTTGAACAGTGTGCTACAAAACCAGCCGGATGGCCCCTCTCTTGTTTAGTACAGACAACACGATGTCTGTGGTTTCCAAAAAAAATGTCAAACCTCTGCCCATCTTTACCCCAAAGATACGGCTTCAAATGTTTTTTTAAACCCAGTCCGTATACTGGCCTGTTGCCAATTAACCCAATTTGTTTGTTTTTTTAATGATCCTCCAGTTGTTTCTTTTTCGTACCACTTACTTTTGCAGTCTTGTTGCTCCAGGAACAGCTTTTTGAGATGCGTTATTGCTAGTAAATGTAAACTTCTATATTTCCCCTAAAATTTGAGCGACTTCTTAGTTTAAACACCGGATATGTTTAATACGTTCCACTGTGAATAAAATATGAGTTTAAGAAGAAAAACAACTAAATATCAACTAGAACCTTTTTGTAAGCTTAAGTTTGACTTTAGAACAAAGCATACTTGATTTATTTTTCACAGGGGTTGTACTTACTTTCTCCTCGTAGTGGATGAATGATGCAGCCTCAGGACCAAGATATTTAACCAGACTGGAAATCACAGCCTCTCTTCTTTCTCCAGCCTGCAAACAACAAGAGACCAGTCCCACATTGGTACTCCCTCTTATCGTTTCAAACCTAAGCATCAAACTGCTGAAATAGTAATAAATGCCAGTGCTTTTCCTGCACTCAAAAGGCTCTTTGTTCAGAAAATACTAGAGTAAACACCAAGTACTCTCAAAATAGGCAAGTAGGCAGTAAAACATTAGTTTCCTTTTTTTTTTTTTAACTTTGCTATCATAACTAGCTAGCTTGTGTTCCTAAAACAAGATGTGTCCGTTGCTTTGTGATGCACAGATTTTGATAAAAACAAAGACAGTGGATTAACATCTGGATTCAGTTCCTGATGGGAGATTAAGGCACAGCATGCAGGTTTCATTGTAGTACAGTAAACTGGCAGATTCACGGAACACAGTGTGCACGTAATTTGCCGTCCAACATGGCTTAAGTACTGTATTTACACGTTTTTCACAAAGTGTCTCACTAACTTGCTTAAAAACTAAGACTTAAATAACCTTTATGAAGCGAAGATGAATTAAAGCGTTGTTGTTGTAAATGGAACTAGAGAAATTGCATTTCCTGCGAAAATGCAGTGAATGCTTATTGCAGAAAAACTTGCTGAAAACAGCTGAAATTAACTTAAAAAAACATGCTGAGATGTAGCTGAAATGAAAGAGCAAGCTTAAATGAGCAGAAGAAAGCAGAAAGAACACACATTTGCTGAATTAGGTTTAAATAAGCAGAAATTAGTACAAAAATTAGGAAATCAGCTAAAAATTATTTAATTTTTTTTATTTAAAAACATCTAAAAAGTAGCTGAAAAGGCAGAAATAATCTTTACCTACGAGAAGGAGTGGAAATAGCTTAAATGAGCTAAAAAATGTGGAATTAGCTGAAAAAGCAAAAATGTGCATAAAATAGCTAAATAGCAGCTGAAATAGCAGAAAAAGCTGAAATGAGTATAAACTGAAATTCACAGAAAAAGTTAGAAGAAGCACAAAAATGTTGCAGTTAGCAGAAAGAATGTGAAAGGAGCACAAAACAGCTGAAAAAACAGCTGATATTAGCTAAAAAGAGGATTAAATTTGCACAAGGAAGCTGAAAGCAGAACAAAATGTGAAAGGAGCAATAAAAGGTTGTAGACAGATCTAAAGATTTGAAAGATGTAAAATGAGCTAAATTAATTTTCTATGTGAAAAAAGTGTCAGAAAAGGCTAAATATTTCTTAAAACTAAAATTGCACCAATACCAAAAGTCATAGCAGGATTGTCTTGTAAGAGCTGAACGTTTTGATTTATGATGTTTTGAAATAGAGTGAAAACTGGGACAAGAAATGCGCCGAAAAATGTATGGAAGAAAAATGGATCACAATAGTGTGAATGCTTCATAAACAGTCACACTATCACGTTAAACTTCCCTTCAGCTTTTAGAACCAAATTGCCATTGTCGTTTTTTTATTTTTTTGTTAGCCTATTTTCATCAACCTGAGGTCATTTTCTTACATTTGAACTAAAATACGTAAATGTACTGAAAAAATAGTCGACTTTGTACTGACATGTTTTTTTTTTTAGCAGGATTGGTAAGAGATCCGTAAGAGAATATTTTAAAGCCAAACCAACATTTAGTACGATGCCTTTATGGCTTTATAGCATCAGTATTAGAAAGCACATTTAAAATTTTTAAGCCAATGCTTTTTTTTGTGTTATGGACCAGTTTTATACAAAACAATGAAATAGCAGAAAAAGAAGTGATGCATGGTCCTAGACAGGTGCATGGTTGAGGATCCCTGTTTAAGGGATACACACTGAATGCATTGCTAGTTGCCCATTTTTCTCTCAGTAACAGACAAAACTAATTATGGAAGAAGAGGCAGTCAGTGACAAAAGACCAATCCTTCTTGAGGTCATTTAATCTTTTATGTTTACTTGTAATATTCTAAAAAAAAGGCAGTGGATTCAACCTGCAGTGCAAATAACAAGGACTTTCCTTGCGATTGTTCTTTGGTGGCGTTATCAGATCTGGGGAAAAACACACCGACTGCCCTCCTTTCAAAGAGTAGGTCAGATGAATATTAAATAATCACTGTCATTAGAATGAGGAGCACAGCCTCACTTTGGTTTGTAAAACTCCAATCCTATTACGGCTAAATCCACAGCAGAGCCTCGTCCTGTCAAAACAAGGCTGCTCCGCTGTCGCATCCAACTGTCTGCAGCCGTGGATGAGTCGAGAGCTGGAAACTGGAAACGATCTTTTTATAACATAGTAAGACAGAGTACATGTGTGAATGAGAGGGAAGCAGGTGAAACAGTGAAGCTACTAGGAGCAGAGGTCACAAAGGTGCAGGACTTCAAGTACTTTGGTCCACTGTCCAGGAAAATGGGGAATGGTATAGAGGTGAAAAAGAGAGTCCAGGCAGGATGGAGTGGATGAAGAAAAGTTTCAGGAGTGATTTGTGACAAAAGAGTGTCAGCAAAGGTCAAAGAAAACATTAACAAGACAGTGGTGAGACCAGCTATGTTGTATGGTCTGGAGACAGAGACATGGACAAAAAGACAGGAGACAGAACTGGAAGTGGCAGAAATGATGTTGAGGTTCTCAGTATGGATAAGATTAGGAATGAGATCATCAGAGGTGCAGCACAGGTTGAACAACTGGGAGATAAATACATATAATAAATATATATATATATATATATATATATATATATATATATATATATA